ACGCTCAGCGTTCAGCCGGACTTACGTTACTCAGGACGTTACCGCCGTGAACGCCGTCTGAACTCCAGAGACGCACAGTGCTGTCAGACGAACACGAGACGAATGGATCAGACGAGCCGTCGCTCTTACTAGGAAACATCTGGAACAGAGCCGAACACACAGATCAAGAAAGAATTCAGACTATATCAGACTATTCAGGCAAATCAGCATATTAGAATGATTTCTGAAGATCATGTGACACTGAAGACTGGAGTAATGATGCTGAAAATACAGCTGCGCATCACAGAAATACATTACAGTTTAACAGATATTCACATAGAAAACAGCTGTTTTACACTGTAATAATATTTCACAATTTTTGCTGTATTGCAAATAAATGCAGCCTTGGTTTTGACTGGTTGCGTTTTTACGCAATATAGGCTGTTGAAAAAGTGTGTGGCTCTACAGAAAAAGCTACAGTATTGATACCATTCTGAATAATGAACGCAGACGTGTATGAGAGCGGATGTTCACCTGAAGATCCCAAACACAGGACGAGTGATACAGCGCTGAGAGAACTTTGCCCACTTTGCGCAGGTCTCTCGTGTCCCACACATATAAACTGTGGTCATTATACACACAGGACAGCCAGTGGTTCACGGGGTCAAAGGTCACCGCCACTGAGTCCGGGTAACGGGCGTCTGGCGTTCTGCTGAACAGATGCCTGAAGAACAGAAGTGATGAGCGTCTGTGGGAGGATCGCTGCTAATTACAGCCTGTAATGCGTTAACAGAGCTCTAATGCTGCAGATCTGGCAGGCAGAGACGTTACACAACCAGATCTAATCAAACACTCAACCCATAAACCCATGCGGTGTGGGACGGACAGAGATCACATTCATTCAGCAATCTCAACACACGTCCACAACTACATCGAACAAATTACATTTGTTAAAGGAAAAAAGATATATGAACTACTAGTCAAAGGTTTCTGAACAGTAAGATTTTTAATGTAAAGAAGTCTCTTCTGCTCACCAAGCCTGCATTTATTTGATCAGAAATACAGCAAAAACTGTAATATTGAGAAATATTTTCAGCATCATTACTCCAGTCTTCAGTGTCACATGATCTTCAGAAATCATTCTAATATGCCGATTTGCTGCTCAAGAAACATTTCTGATTATTATCAATGTTGAACACAGCCGAGTCAATTTTTTTCAGGATTCACAGATGAATAGAAAGATCCAAAGATCAGCATTTATCTGAAATAGAAATCTTTTGTAACATTTAAATGTCTTTATCATCACTTTTGATCAATTTAAAGCATCCTTGCTAAATAAAAGTATGAATGATTAATTATTAATATAAAGTATTAATGACTCCAAGCTTTTGAGTATATAATGTTACAAAAGCTTTATAATTTCAGATAGATGCTAATCTTTGCATGTTTCTATTCAACAAAGAATCCTGAAAAAATGCACTCAACTGTTTTAAATATTAATGATAATAATATAAAAAAATGTTTCTCGAGCAGCAAATCAGCATATTAGAATGATTTCTGAAGATCATGTGACACTGAAGACTGGAGTAATGATGCTGAAAATACAGCTGCGCATCACAGAAATAAATGAGTTTAACAGAGATTCACATAGAAAACTGCTGTTTTAGATTGTAATAATATTTCACAATTTTTACTGTATTTCTGATCAAATAAATGCAGGCTTGGTGAGCAGAAGAGACTTCTTTCAAAAACATTAAAAATCTCACTGTTCAGAAACGTTTGACTGGTAGTGTATATATTTTGATGTGTATCTGAATGCGTGTAACAAATGTATCAGTGATGTGTTACGGTCTCACCTGGTCTGTGTGGCGGCGGACACCTGGATGCCCAGATGATGAGGACGGGGCAGCGAGCTGATGAAGCGCAGGTCAGACGCTCCGAACACTCGCACCGTTCCGCTCGCACAGCCGCAGAAGATCAGATCCTCCGTCACCGCCAGAGAGCGCGCCGAACCCGTCTGCAGCACGAGCACACGTGAGCAACAACACGTCAGCACACGCGTGTCACAGGCGAGAGGTCATGTGATCCGACTGACCTGCAGGTGCACCCAGCGGTCCAGAACCCTCCGGCTGTTGAACTCACACAGCAGACCCGACGCCGTCACGCAGAAGGTGCTGTCGGACCTCAGGCCTCGTCCACACGCCACGTCACAGAAGAAGTTATTCTGCAGCTCCCCGAGGAGCCCTGAGCGGCCCATCAGCGGCACGGGACACGCGCGCTGCAGAGCATCATGGGAACGCTCAATCAGTCACTCGATCACAGCAGCTCTAACTGAACTTAACCAAGCTTCCATTACTGTACAAGAACCATCTTCAGTGATCATCGGCTCTTAAAGTCTGAAGAAGAACATCGTAATCATCTAAAGAACTTGTTTCCACTATAAAGAATCATTAGTGCGATGGAAAGATTCATTTAATGTTCTTAATGGAACCATCAAAGCCAATAACCATCCTTTATTTTGAAGTGTGTACTTATGTGCCAATATCTGAGTGAATTTATTCCACAGGAGAAAAACCAAACAAAACAACAAAAATGTAATTAAACGTTAAATTAAATCAAAACAAAGCAAAGATCTCACTATCTGATGGTACAAACCAGCGTCTGAAACGCTCACAGTGAGGTCAGACAGAAGAGTTACGAATGTGAGCTCTAAATACATTTGACATTTTGTTTCAAATTGCAACAATTTAACGTATTTAATTAAATATAACAATGCAATTTGTGTACATTTGTAATTTTGTGCAATAAAAAGACCAACAAACTTCACAATTAATTTAAGGTATTAAAACACAAATACAGCAGAGTGGGTAACGAAATCCATTCAAACTAACCAGCAGGATCTAGCTAGTTTAGGCAGAAATGTTGGCTTGTTCATTTACACATTTGGTTAATAACTAATAAATTAAACTAGACTGAAAAGTTTGTAGACAAACTTTAAGTTGGCTTGAAAAAGCCTAGCTAGAAAGTTTGAAAAAGTTTGAAAAGCTTGCAGTCTGAAAGTTATCACTTTGAAGTAGATTGAAAGTTATATAGTTTTAAAGATTAAAGTTTGAATGTTTTCAATGCAACACAGTCTATCAGAAAAACAGATATGTATAAACACATTGCTAGGGTACCTGGGGTGGTTGCTAGGCTGTTTCTAGCATGACTAGCATGTTGCTAACATGTTTTTAGCATGAATAGCATGTTTCTAGCATGTTGCTAGCATGATTAGCAAGTTACTAGCATTTTTCTAGCATGATTAGCATGTTACTAGCATGTTGTTAACATAATTAGCAGGGTGTTAGCATTTTGTTAGCATAATTAGAAAGTTACTAGCATGATTCTAACATGATTAGCATGTTACTAGCATGGTGTTAAAATGTTGTTAACATGATTAGCAAGTTACTAGCATGTTTTCTAACATGATTAGCATGTTAACATGATTAGTATGTTACTAGCATGGTGTTAACATGATTAACAAGTTACTAGCATGTTTCTAACATGATTAGCAAATTACTAGCATGTTGTTACCATGATTAACATGTTACTAGCATGATGCTAGTATGTTGTTAGCATGATTAGCAAGTTACTAGCATTTTGTTAGCATGTTTCAATGCTAATCCAGCTAAAAGCAGTTGATTCAGTAAAAAAACAGCTAAGACTGCTAAAAAAGTGGCCAAAACCACTTTAAAACCAGCTTGGGAGACCAGCCAAAGCAGTCAATCAGCTTAGGCTGGTTTTAGCTGTTTTTTTCAGTAGGGAGTTGTTAAGCTTTGCTATAGCAATAGACAGCTTAAATACACCATAAGTCTTATTGTATAAAAGTTTTCACTCCCTCAATGAAAGTCTATGGGATTTTAGGTGGTTTTGATAGTCTGGTTTACGAAAACCGTAAGCTGGATCAGTTAGAAAAGATATAGCAACCCGAGTCAGACCAGTCTGAAGGTCTGACCCGAGTTTGGTGATTGTAGCTTTAAAAGTCTAGGAGGAGATACATTTTAAGATTTGGTCTCAGAAGAAGAAGAAGGAAGAAGTAGTTTAAATAGGATTTCAGTAAGTTGGCTTTTTCAAGCCAACTTAAATAATATTTAAAATAAAAAAATAAAATAAATCATAGTTTTACTACAATGTATTAAATATCAGCTCATCAGAATGCCAGAAACATGATTTTAGGATTTTCGTTGCAAGAGCTCTTTATATAGAGTTTGATATGCTCACGTAAAGCGAAATATAAAATACAGCAAATCTCAACTACTTGATTGTTTACAGAATGTAACTATATCATCATCCATCTCTAATCTGCTAAATGACAATATTATAAACATATGAAGCTGCTTTTATTAACAAATTTGAAGTAACTGAAGGAAGGTGGTCAGAATCAGACATCTAAGATTACCAATAAACACGAAAAAGTCTGATCGCGGATGATACGGTTTAGAGGGAAACAGGTTTTGCCATCATTAATGTACCTGATCAGCGTGAGACGGTTCCAGATACCAGAAGCGGACGTGTCTGTTCCCCGCCGTGACGAAATAAGAGCCGTCCTCTGAGAAGGACATGGCCGTCACCTTACTGGACACCTTATTCACCGCTATCAGAGCGCTCTTCTGCAGGAACCACAGAGTGAACACATGCAGTGATGCAGGGACGCGCTGCAGGGCATGCTGGGTGATTTCCCTACCTTCCAGGCCCACAGGTTGACGCTCATGTCGTGCTGCGATCCCACGCTCACGATGTATTTGCCGTTGGGGGAAAAGGCCATGCAGGACACGCCGTACTTGTGCTCCTGCAGCTGAGAGACCAGCGAGCCCTCGCTCACGTCCCACACACACACCGCCGCCAGACGACCGCTCTGAACAACACACACCGACCGTTAGCTAGTCACACAACCACTGACCACAACTACACACGTGTGAGGCTGACTGCTGACCTCTCCAGTGACCAGAAACCTGCCGTCTGACGAGAACGACAACGTGCTGATGCTCTTCCTGAAGAACCACAGATTCACAACACACAGGTTAATGGAAGAATTCACCTAAACATGTGCTGAAAATGTGCTCATCCTCAGTTCATCCGAGATGAGTTTGTTTCTTCATCAGATTTGGAGAAATTGCATCACTGTCTCACTGCAAGTGAATGGGTGCCGTCAGAATGAGAGTCCAAACAGCTGATAAAAACATCACAATAATCCACAAGTAATCCACAGCACTCCAGTCCATCAGTTAACATCTGGAGAAGACAAAAGCTGAAACAAATCCAGCATTAAGACGCTTTTAACTCAAATACCATTGAGTCCATAATCCATAATAACTCTTCCTCCAGTGAAAAAGTGCATCTGCTGTCGTCTCTCACATCAAAATCCAGCCACATATGTGTTTAGAGCTGTTTAAACGCTGCTTGATCTGTGCAGATTTCTCTCCTGATTCACACCAGAACACTTTTTCACTGGAGGAAGCGTTATCTAGTGAACGGGGAATGTTCTCAGAACGTTCTGGCAAGGTTCTCTCAACGTTACGAACAAACGTTCTTCCAGTGATGTCAATGAAACATTAATTCAAAGTTATTTGGTCTTTAATAATGTTCTCAAAACTTTAGGACAAAAACATTATTTATCCATATCTTTTTCTGAAAAATTTATTTGGATGTTCATCTAACATTTTTTAAACGTTACTTGTTTCAGAGAACATTCAAAAGTAACGTTCCCATAATGTTTGCAAAATTCTAAAACAGAATGTTCCCTTAATGTTCACATAACAGACAAAAAAAATGTTTTAAAACATTTTTAAAAAACTGGATGTTTTGAACGTTCAGTGAACATTCAGAAATATTTTCATAACTTAATGGGAACGTTAGCAAAACATTCTTAGAACATATTTTTCTTAACTGGGATTATGGATCATGGACTCGTCTTAATGCTGGATTAGTTTCAGTTTCTGTCTTCTCCAGATGTTAACTGATGGACTGGAGTGCTGTGGATTATTGTGATGTTTTTATCAGCTGTTTGGACTCTCGTTCTGACGGCACCCATTCACTTGCAGTGAGACACTGATGCAGTTTCTCCAAATCTGATGAAGAAACAAACTCATCCTAATCTGGGATGGCCATATGAGGACATGTTCAGCTTTCATTTTTATCATATTCCTTTAACATCTGGATGACACTCGACACAAACACTAGAGTATTTACGCCTGACATGACTGAATGACGTGTGATACTGTAGCTCTTCACCTGGATGAGTTGATGAGATGCTGTTGTGTGTTTTTGGCTGGGTTCAGTAACACAACGACACACCTGAATGAAACAAACAAGCACTGCGTTCACTGCGCGAGTCCATTAATAGGCCTAAATCTTCAACTAATCTTTGTATTTTCATTAAAAGCTGGTTAATCGCTGTAATACTCTTGGGACTGAGATCTGCTTTCCTTACAATTAACAACACACCTACAGTAGGAAACAGGAAGATGCCATATTTAATCTAATGCATTTATTAATTTAACATATTTTATGTCTTTCCACAAAAAAACCTACTTAAACTAAATAATTTAAAAATGATTTTTGAGAACTAGTCATGACTTAAAGACAGTATAAGGCATTGAACAGACTGCTCATCTTCCCTTAACAGATTAAATAAGCTCTATATGCATCCATTAACTTCATTAATGATCTTTATGCAAGTTGTGAACTCACCCGGCTGGATAGGCCACCGTTCCTGAACACGGATCACATGTTAAACCACTGTTTCCTGCAGTCGTGATGCCCAGGACTTTCTCTAGAGTCACCTGAGATGACAGGAAAAACATAATGATCAAAATAAATATCACTGTATTACACAGACAACAAAACATTTATGGGTGAATCTGAACAATTTAAAAATAAAAATAAATAAATAATTAAATAAATACTTTTACATACTATGTATAATAAATTAATAAACATAAAATGAATTCTATATATTTAAATATGTTATATATATATAATAAATATGAATAAATATATAAAATAAATTATATTTAAAATATTTCTAAAATAAATATGATATAAATAAACACACACACACACATATATATTTATTTATTTATTTATTATGACAATAAAAAGCAAACAGTTTTCAAGGTGGGGAAATAACTGATCTATAGACAACAAGTTAATTTGCTTTACTGCTGATTAATGCATTAATGAATAATGATCATTGTTTCTCAGAACTAAAGACCTTTCAAGAGCTCAAAGTCAACACAGGAGCATCATGGGAATGTGCTGATGTGTTTAAGAGGTTTGCTCTGTCGATATTATTATTGACTCTCGTGCTGGTTTTACAATGATGTCGACATGCGAAAGAGTCCGAAAAACACTGACAACATCATCATCTGAGATCTTCAGTCTAGATGAGCTTCACACAAGATCAAAAGACAAACTAATCACTAATCGGAACTCAATCAGAAACAGATCAAAGGACGCGAACTCTTCAGAACGCGCAGCGGTTCGTTTGATGTTTGTTACAGTGATGAAATATTTGTTACAATTTTTAAATGATTGTTACAAATGTCTGAGTGATCTGATACATACTGACGCGGTTCTGAAGCGCAGCGCTATAATAATAATATTATTAATAATAATAATAATAGCAGTGAGTTTCTTTACCTTGCTGGACAGACAGTCTTTGATGCGGCCGCTGCGGCTCCTTCTGAGTTTGATGGACGGCGAGCGCAGGAGACTCTGAATGCGACTCTTGATGGTAAAAGCCTCCATGTCCCTGCATTCACACACGAGCGCGGTAAATCTGCGGTAAACTCCAGTAAAACACCACAGTAAAGTTGAGCGAGTCGCGCTCAGCCGCGTTTGAATGAATCTCCACGGGCTCCAGCGGCGCTAATCAGCGCGTCCGGCGATCTGATTGGCCTCTGTGACGCATGACGTTCCGCTGTGATTACATATTCATGAGCCTGATAACGAGACTGACTCCTGGTGGATCTGGAGTTGGGGCAGAGTAACAATTAACATAAAACAATGAAAATGAAAATGTATTGAAGAAGAAAAGAAGAAATGATCTTAAATAAATCCTGACTGCATCACAGCACAGTAGCTGGCAATAAAGCAAGAAGAAGAAAAGAAGAGGGTGTTTTCACACTTGGTCCTTTTAAGTGATCTGAGCACAAAAAACACGCATTGTGAAAACAAACCACTCCGGATCGCTTGACCTTTTTTAGTTTAGCGACCTGCTAAGACGGCGTTTCAGTGCCACGTTAAAGAATAATAAAAAAAAAATCTAAGATTACGATATTAAAGTCGTAATATTTTGAGAAAAAAAAGTAAAAATTAGGAGAATTAAGCAGAAATCATACCACGAGTCACACACTCTCAGGGACAGTATGATTGGAAATAATATTTCACATCTTCGAATGCATTCATTATTTGTAGTGCGCAGCCACCCAATAATAGCAATAAGCTTTGTGCTTTTGGTGCTTTTAATATAAAAGAAAGTCTCAGCTTTCAAATTCTGTAATTTTTTATAGCGAAATACAAACAATGTCTTACAATAATGTGTTTTTCTTGCTCTTTAATGTGGCGTGACAGATCGCTGTATTCAGCTCAGTTTAAGCGGGATGCGAATCAATCATCTTTTCATCACATTTATAATATGTATTTCACTATAAAACTATAATATATATATATATATATATATCTATAATATAATAATCCAGGTGCATGCGCAATATAGACTACACTCTCAAAATATTTCGACTTAATTCTTGTCATTTTGACTTTATTCTCAAAATATTTCGACTTCATTCTTGTAATCTTGACTTTATTCTCAAAATATTTCGACTTCATTCTTGTAATCTTGACTTTATTCTCAAAATATTTCGACTTCATTCTTGTAATCTTGACTTTATTCTCAAAATATTTCGACTTCATTCTTGTAATCTTGACTTTATTCTCAAAATATTTCGACTTCATTCTTGTAATCTTGACTTTATTCTCAAAATATTTCGACTTCATTCTTGTAATCTTGACTTTATTCTCAAAATATTTCGACTTCATTCTTGTAATCTTGACTTTATTCTCAAAATATTTCGACTTCATTCTTGTAATCTTGACTTTATTCTCAAAATATTTCGACTTCATTCTTGTAATCTTGACTTTATTCTCAAAATATTTCGACTTCATTCTTGTAATCTTGACTTTATTCTCAAAATATTTCGACTTCATTCTTGTAATCTTGACTTTATTCTCAAAATATTTCGACTTCATTCTTGTAATCTTGACTTTATTCTCAAAATATTTCGACTTCATTCTTGTAATCTTGACTTTATTCTCAAAATATTTCGACTTCATTCTTGTAATCTTGACTTTATTCTCAAAATATTTCGACTTCATTCTTGTAATCTTGACTTTATTCTCAAAATATTTCGACTTCATTCTTGTAATCTTGACTTTATTCTCAAAATATTTCGACTTCATTCTTGTAATCTTGACTTTATTCTCAAAATATTTCGACTTCATTCTTGTAATCTTGACTTTATTCTCAAAATATTTCGACTTCATTCTTGTAATCTTGACTTTATTCTCAAAATATTTCGACTTCATTCTTGTAATCTTGACTTTATTCTCAAAATATTTCGACTTCATTCTTGTAATCTTGACTTTATTCTCAAAATATTTCGACTTCATTCTTGTAATCTTGACTTTATTCTCAAAATATTTCGACTTCATTCTTGTAATCTTGACTTTATTCTCAAAATATTTCGACTTCATTCTTGTAATCTTGACTTTATTCTCAAAATATTTCGACTTCATTCTTGTAATCTTGACTTTATTCTCAAAATATTTCGACTTCATTCTTGTAATCTTGACTTTATTCTCAAAATATTTCGACTTCATTCTTGTAATCTTGACTTTATTCTCAAAATATTTCGACTTCATTCTTGTAATCTTGACTTTATTCTCAAAATATTTCGACTTCATTCTTGTAATCTTGACTTTATTCTCAAAATATTTCGACTTCATTCTTGTAATCTTGACTTTATTCTCAAAATATTTCGACTTCATTCTTGTAATCTTGACTTTATTCTCAAAATATTTCGACTTCATTCTTGTAATCTTGACTTTATTCTCAAAATATTTCGACTTCATTCTTGTAATCTTGACTTTATTCTCAAAATATTTCGACTTCATTCTTGTAATCTTGACTTTATTCTCAAAATATTTCGACTTCATTCTTGTAATCTTGACTTTATTCTCAAAATATTTCGACTTCATTCTTGTAATCTTGACTTTATTCTCAAAATATTTCGACTTCATTCTTGTAATCTTGACTTTATTCTCAAAATATTTCGACTTCATTCTTGTAATCTTGACTTTATTCTCAAAATATTTCGACTTCATTCTTGTAATCTTGACTTTATTCTCAAAATATTTCGACTTCATTCTTGTAATCTTGACTTTATTCTCAAAATATTTCGACTTCATTCTTGTAATCTTGACTTTATTCTCAAAATATTTCGACTTCATTCTTGTAATCTTGACTTTATTCTCAAAATATTTCGACTTCATTCTTGTAATCTTGACTTTATTCTCAAAATATTTCGACTTCATTCTTGTAATCTTGACTTTATTCTCAAAATATTTCGACTTCATTCTTGTAATCTTGACTTTATTCTCAAAATATTTCGACTTCATTCTTGTAATCTTGACTTTATTCTCAAAATATTTCGACTTCATTCTTGTAATCTTGACTTTATTCTCAAAATATTTCGACTTCATTCTTGTAATCTTGACTTTATTCTCAAAATATTTCGACTTCATTCTTGTAATCTTGACTTTATTCTCAAAATATTTCGACTTCATTCTTGTAATCTTGACTTTATTCTCAAAATATTTCGACTTCATTCTTGTAATCTTGACTTTATTCTCAAAATATTTCGACTTCATTCTTGTAATCTTGACTTTATTCTCAAAATATTTCGACTTCATTCTTGTAATCTTGACTTTATTCTCAAAATATTTCGACTTCATTCTTGTAATCTTGACTTTATTCTCAAAATATTTCGACTTCATTCTTGTAATCTTGACTTTATTCTCAAAATATTTCGACTTCATTCTTGTAATCTTGACTTTATTCTCAAAATATTTCGACTTCATTCTTGTAATCTTGACTTTATTCTCAAAATATTTCGACTTCATTCTTGTAATCTTGACTTTATTCTCAAAATATTTCGACTTCATTCTTGTAATCTTGACTTTATTCTCAAAATATTTCGACTTCATTCTTGTAATCTTGACTTTATTCTCAAAATATTTCGACTTCATTCTTGTAATCTTGACTTTATTCTCAAAATATTTCGACTTCATTCTTGTAATCTTGACTTTATTCTCAAAATATTTCGACTTCATTCTTGTAATCTTGACTTTATTCTCAAAATATTTCGACTTCATTCTTGTAATCTTGACTTTATTCTCAAAATATTTCGACTTCATTCTTGTAATCTTGACTTTATTCTCAAAATATTTCGACTTAATTCTTGTAATCTCGACTTTATTCTCAAAATATTTCTATTAATTCTTGTCATTTTGACTTTATTCTCAAAATATTTAAACTTTATTCTCAAAATATTTAAACTTTATTCTCAAAATATTTCAACTTTATTCTCGTAATTTTGACTTTATTCTCAAAAAAACATTACAACTTGAATCTCGTAATTTTAGATTTTTAATTTTTTAACGTGGCACTAAAATGCCGTTGTAATATTTAAACCACATGCCACAATAATCTATTGTATTCACAAATACTAGTATATATTATTATTTGTAATTAATCGAATCGATTATTCTGTGTATCATATAATTTTATCATTTTTTAATCAAAGTGACTGTCAATGGTTTAATGCTTTAAACTAGCAATACTATAAAAGTAAATTAATTTTGAGTAACTGACATTATATAAATTATACATATGTGTGCTACCATTCAAAAATTTGGGTCAGTAAGTTTTTTCTTTCTAAATATTAAAATGAATAATATTCAGCAAAGATGCATTAAATTCATCAAAAGGGACAGTAAACATGTATAATGTTGCAAACAATTTCTATTTCAAATAAATGCTTTTTTTTTTACTTTCTATTAATTACAGAATCTTTCAAAATGTATATTTTTATTAATATTTGGATCAAATATTAAGCAGCACAACTGGTTTCAACATTGATAATAATTAATTCTTGTAATTTTGACTTTATTCTCAGAATATTTTGACTTAATTCTTGTAATTTTTGACTTTATTCTCAAACTATTTGAATTAATTCTTGTCATTTTTACTTTATTCTCAAAATATTTCGACTTAATTCTTGTAATTTTGACTTTATTCTCAGAATATTTTGACTTAATTCTTGTAATTTTTGACTTTATTCTCAAAATATTTCGACTTAATTCTTGTAATTTTGACTTTATTCTCAAAATATTTTGACTTCATTCTCATAATTTTGACTTTTTTTTCTCAAAGTATTACGATCTCAATCGTAGATTTTTTATTTTTTTTTTACGTGGCACTAAAACATAGTCATAACAAACTGTGCGTAAAGTTTCGTTTCATTTTTGTGACACGATCCGTAAACAATTTCTTGAAAACCGAGACGGCAGAAAGCGCAGCCTGTTTGTTTTCTTTTTTTTACAAAAGCACAATATTTTGTTTTATTGTGTATACAAATAAAAGTAGAACCTTTATAGTAGATAACAGGGACTGTAAAATATGTATTTTAGGTATGGAAATGACATTTTGACACACACAACATATCATTTATAGCATTGCTAATGCTAAGCCTGTTCATACTGCAATGTATAAACACAAATGCATTTTTAAAATGACTATTTAATCCAATCTGCAGTTTTTGTTAAAAATGATATTGTTGTCTTCATGCCTGATTTTACGTGCCGAGATCATTTTCTGTCAGTATGTTTCATGTTTAACTTCCATTAAAAAAGTGTTATTACATCTATAAAGGCAGGACAATGAAAGGACCACAACATTTACATGGATTTACATTTTATTTAAGCACAAAGCCATAATATCAACTCAATTCTGAGGCCATTTCAATATGAGAATCCACATAATTTACAAACTTTACAGGATGAAAGCATTAAGATCAATCAGGTTATGAGTTATTGAGATGTTTTCCAGCCTGAGAGATTAATTAGTGAGTGATTTATAAATGACAGACAACTAACACAGGCCTCGTCTTCATCGTCTTGGTGAAAGATTGCAGGACTATGTTGAGCAAACGTCTCTTCACCACTAAACACCAAACAGATTGATCGTTTAGAGTGTTTTATCCAGTCAAAGCTCTTTTAGTGTAACTGTAGCTGGAGCTTCTCGTGTCAAATCTTGACTGATTTTGATCAAGTAAGCGTCAGAATAACTGCAGTAATATCTCCAGATGAACACTTACTGGACTGAAGCAGCTCAGCTTTACTTGATTCTCCATCAATCATGTTTTAGAGTCTCAAATCTGATCCTCAGGATCTTTTGAGGAGCGTTTGTTTCCAGAAGCTTTACTTTCACTGTTCCTCAGCGGAGGAATGATCTTCACAAGCCTCCAGAACATCTCACATCTTCTGAGAATCTTCTTTTAAATTAGTCTTAGTCCTGTGTCAGATGTATTTTTTAGTTATCATCATATTTAGTCAAGCTTGTCCTGTTTTTGTCGAGAGCGCGTGCGCATGGTTGCCAGATCACAAAAAACGAAGCTAAACACCGGGCAGAAAATGCTTTGTTTTAACAGAGAAGCTCTGATTTGGGGATTTGAACTCTTGATATCTGGCATATGTTCAGTGTGCCATCAGTGTCTTTTACTGCAGTACAGCATATTAACACAAATAAACGTCTGTATTCTAGCTATGTTGATGGATTCGTCATTGGTTTTATTTTTAATTCAACTAAGCATAAAATGATGCATATATTCAGAGACTTGCATACTGTGTATAGTAAATATACTGTATCTTGCAAGTCAATTGTGTTTGCATATTATTTGTGCTTTTCACAGAAAACCATCCCATAATGCCTCAGTGAGCACAACAAACTCAAATAAAGAAAAGAGACTTACAAGCCATTGACTCTGAGCTGCTTGCAGTGTTTTCCTGAAGAGAAGAGAGATGTTAAATAGTGTAGTTATTCTTACAGTACACTATTTATGTCTCACAATCTTCTACAGTAAAGATATGCATCATATTCGTTTTCTTTGATCGTTACTAGTTAATGCAGCATGCGAGTTCAGTGTCACGTTTCCAAAAGTTTCCAACTTTTACCATAAAACCTGACAATTTATTAAGGGATATTACACTTGTTTCTTCGTTCCCCCCGAACGAAAATGTTCCTTTATAAAATATAATTTTTTTAGTAAGTGTTTTATTTTGATTGTTGTTATTTTTTAACATTTTTATGATTAAATATTAGCTTTTCATTAAACTCACAAACCCGCTGCAGTTCCTTTACGAACCCCAGTTTGCTAAACCTTGATGTAATGCACTTTATGATGTTAATAACAAACAATGGAATATATTTTCTTACTTTTTGCATTTTTATATCAATGTGGAACAAGATTATCCTGTTTAAATCAATGTGATAAACACGTTAGGTCAAAAGTAATCTAAAAGTAGTCTGATTATATTACCTAAAATGTGTAATGTAACGGATGACGTCACTAACTACAATGTTTGTCATGTAATTTGGAATCAGAAGCGGACTACAGTTTGTAAGTAATCTACCAGCTCTGATAATGTTATAAATCATAATACATTAATATGGCATCTTTCACAATTTGTCTGTCATTGGGTTTAATGTCAGTGGTGACAAATACTAAATTATCATAACTATTAATATTTTAGTGAGAAATGTTGTTACCATTATAAATTTGTCTAGAAGGTGTGGTAATATTGGATAACTATAATCATAATTCATGGCTGGGCAGAGAATCATTCTAGCTATATATGAAGATATAACCAGATTGTGGTAATTTAGGTGGAACATACATTTTTTAAAAATAAAGATTTTATTTAATCTTTTTTTTTTTCAGTGTCACATGATCTTCAGAAATCATTCTAATATGCTGATTTGCTGCTTGAGAAACATTTCTGATTATCATCAGTGTTGAAATATTTGTGTGGAAACTGATACATTGTATTTTTCAGGATTCACAGATGAACAGAAAGTTAAAAAGAGCAGCATTTATTTGAAATAGAAATCTTTTCTAACATTCTAAATGTCTTTACTGTCACTTTTAATCAATTTAATGCATCACAGATGAATAAAAATGTTTTCAAAATAAATAAATCAGTTTTTCAACATTGATAATAATCAGAAATGTTTCTTGAGCAGCAAATCAGCATATTAGAATGATTTCTGAAGATCATGTGACACTGAAGACTGGAGTAATGATGCTGAAAATACAGCTGCGCATCACAGAAATACATTACAGTTTAACAGAGATTCACTCAGAAAACAGCTGTTTTACATTATAATAATATTTCACATTTTTTACAGTATTTGTGATCAAATAAATGCAGCCGCGGTGAGCAGAACAGACTTCTTTCATTACATTGTTATTTTTTTTTAAATCACCATATCATGTGAGGTTGGCATAAAAACCAAAAGCATCTAACAAGCACCTTTGTATTATTATGAATAACTGTGTAAAACTTTAGATTTAAATAAAGATTTTCTTAATGTAGTTTTGATTGAGAGAGAGATCTGTTAATGAGGTTATTCTACCTGTCATACAAATGTGTGACGCATAAATGTTTTTAATTAAAAATAATGAAAGCAGCTCTGCTTGGAAGCCGATGTTTATTGTCAATCATCAAGCCAGTGATGGAGATGTGAGGGCAAACTCCATGGAGAAATTAAGCCTGAGCGCCTGCTCGTCACCAGATGAAGGACACCAAAGCTCTAAGGCATCAATTACACCGTTCTCCTCCTTAAGCTCCAATTAAGCAGGATGCAGTGATATGACAGAAACTGTGATCCGCTGGAGCAGAAGCGGCTCCAGATCTGCTGCAGAACGCATCGGTCGAGCCATGGAGGGCTTTTACGTGGACCTTCTGGCTCTGAGGATCGTCGTCTCCGTCATCGGCGTTGTAGGAAACACGGTCCTGATTATCTCACTCCTACAGACGCCTCGCCTGAAGTCCTTCGAGATCTTTCTCCTCGGGCTGGCCACGGCGAATCTGGAGGAGATCGTGATCGTGGACGTCTACGACATCTTGCTGTTGCGCTCCTCTCGCAGGATAAGCATCTGGAGCTGCAGAGGCCTGAAGTTCCTTACCATCCTCGGGGAGATCTCCAGCATCCTCTTCACGGTTCTCATCAGCATCTACCGCTATCAGAAGCTGCGGGACGTGCACACGCGGGTCAGCCGGCCCGTCTTCATGGACAGTCTGCGTTCGGCCGTGCTTCTCTCTGTCTTCTGCGGTGCAGTGGCTCTGGTCTTCGGCTTGCCCACGCTTCTCATTAACCTGGACTGGAGTCACCAGAACTCCTCGTCTCAGGGCTGTCCGGTCGATTTCTTCCAGTGCTCGTTAACCAGGTGCCCGACTCGCAACCGCGTTTACAAGTACTCCTTCCTTCTGGTGTGCAACCTGTTGCCTCTGCTGATAGTCACAGTAACGAGCAGCATGATCGTCAGGATCTTAATAACTCAGCAGAAGACGGTGAGGGCCCGACAGGCATCGCAGACGTCCCAGCAGCGGCCCAGGAGATCTGGCTTCCAGCGCAGCACGCAGGCCATCCTTGCGGCCATGACTCTGTTCCAGCTCAACTGGACCGTCTATCTGATCCTGCATCTGCTGTGGGACCCACACTCCTTCACACTGTGGTCAGAGCTGGAGTTCTTCATCACCACGTTTTACACCGCAGTCAGCCCGTATGTCTATGGAATAGGCAACAACCTGTTCAGCATGAAGCGCTGCATGAGCTGAAAGCTTCTGATTAGATTGCTAGTTTCAGAAGTGTTTTGAGAACTGTGACCTTTGCATACAAAACAATAACATAAAAGGTTCAAAAAATCTGGTAACACTTTACTTAAAGCCTTGTGATGCAGCTTCTACAGTTGATACATTGTAACACTTATCAAGTCATTGTTACACTATGCATTTAATATACTTATTTACGACAAGATATAATGTATTACAACGCACATTATGAATAATTATAATGCATTATTCCCTTTAACAACCCTTTATAATGCATTATACATAAAGGTTTTAAGTGTTACCAAAAATCCTTTACTCTTAGTTTAATACAAAATATCCAAATTAAAGTTCTCTAACATTTAAATAATATAATTTATTTTATTTTTTGTTATTTTAGTACATTGAGATATTATTATCATTCTTTGTTAAGGTTTTGAATTAGATTTTTATATTTGTTTTTTATTTTAATTACCGTTTTAGTCATTTTGTATAATTATATATATATATATATATTAGTGCTGTCAAACAATTAATCGCATCCAAAATAAAAGTTTTTGTTTGCATAATATATATATGTGCACTGTATATTTATTATGTACATATAAATACACACACATACAGTATATATTTAGAAAATATTTACATGTCTATATTTATATTCATATAATTAATATTATAAATAAATATATTTAATATATAAGCATATTTTTCTGAAATATATACATGCATGTGTGTGTATTTATGTACACACACATATATTATGCAAACAAAAACTTCGCGATTAATCGTTTGACAGCACTAATATATATATATACTATATGATTACTTTTTAGGTTATATCATTTTATACTTAATTTTTATTTTAGTTTGAGTTATTTTAGTGCATCAAGGTAATAAATGAAAATGGAATGTTGACTTGTAAACTAGCTTTAATAAAATAAATAATAATAATAATAAAAATCTTTATTTTAGTTAACATTTATTTTAGTTCAAGTAATGAAAATGTATTTTTATGGTTTTAGGTTTAGTAAACTAGAATAACCCTGGTATGCACATTTACACACACATACATGCAAAGAACTGAACATAATCAGGAATTTATCAAATGTCCTATAGCTGTTAAATATAATTGTTTTCCTTCTCATTCAGCATATTATGTTATGAACGGTTATTAATCCAATTAATATGATCCAGATCCTTGATTTACACTGGGAAAAAATGCATGGTAACCTGCGATCAGCTTAAAGAGCAATGTACCTGATTTAACTCATAAATAAGAGTTCTGTTGGTACAAATGAATGTATTTTAGGTTGATTCGGTGATGCCAAATAATAATTTGATTGGAAAAAATCCAGTTAATTTAGATGTTACCTTTTTTATTTTAGTGTACATGAGATCCAATTAGAGATTTGCTATTGTTCATTATTAATTCATGTTCATTTATACAGCTTAAGATGGTCACATTGCAAAAAAATATGAATTATTGTGCAATATAATTTCTTGTTTTGATCTTACCGCACCTGATGCTTCTGTGCAGTGCTAATAAACACTGATTTCTGTGTGTTGTGATGTATTCTCATGACTCTATAAATGTGGACAGTCTGTAAGGAGTTAAGCATTATCACTCTCATAGTTCACAGGCTCGATTAAAGCATAATAACTCACCCAAAAATGAACCATCGCATCATTTATTGCCCTTGTGTCTTTCATATGCTTCATATTTAATCATTAAACCAATGCAATCGAAACATTTGTTAACATGTGATCTGAATATTCTGCTTTGGCATCACTTTTATTCATGGATAAAGTGTTTTACTTCTAAAATATAACTGAATTGACTCAAAGGTGTGAAGGGAAGCAGGATTTAGCTGTGGCCGTGTGCACTAAACAATAGCTTTCAGTCGGAGTCTCTTGCTTCTGTTCTAGTGTTGAATGCGTTGGTCATATGGAAACATGTTGTCTTCTGTAAGTGCAGCTCTGCTCTCTGACTGAAAGTGAAAGTGAGTGGTGATTTTCTGTGTTCTGACAGTCATATCTGGAGATGTGTGTGACTGCTGGTGACCTTCAACAATCAACACATCTCAATCATCTGAGCAGTTTCACCAGCACACTTCATCAGTCTGCTTCATCTTCAGTCTTCTCAGGAGTTACTGCTCTGATCATTTACTCGCCCTCATGTCATCCGAGATGTTCTTTCTGTCTTCAGTCGCAAAGAAATGAAGGTTTTTGAGGAAAACGTTCCAGGATTGTTCTCCATATAATGGACTTCAATGTACAATTACAATGTAATCATGGAAACAATTAATTGTATCATGTTGCAAACATCATAGGAATGCTACTTTTTAAATGTTCTCTGAACATTCTGAAACAAGTAACATTTTTTCAAAAGTTAGACAAACTGTCCAACTGAAACATTTCAGAACAAAGCTTCACGAACAACGTATAATGCATTTTTGTGCATCAGATAACTTTAAACAAACATTCTGTTAATGTTACTAGAAGAACTTGACTTTGAGAGAACATTGCCAGAACGCTCTGAGAGCATCCCTGTTACAAAGAGAGGAGGGACTCGAGACCCGGAGAACCCAGATGAGGCTGGACTGTAAGAGAACCAGAACTTACATTCAGCAGATGCTGTTCTGCAGATGAGGAACATTAGATATTTGCCAAAAGCCAACAGTGTTCATACTGTATGTAGTACACCGCCAGTAAAACCCATACACAAGTCTAATATAGCCTACTGTGTGTACATACATTACATTTACATATATGAAATGTATTCTCATATTACGTGAAAATATAATGTATGAAACCTAAATTGGAACAATTTTATCTACTAACATATAAATGTATGTGTAATATATAGTACTGTGCAGAAGTCTTCGGCTGTTAGTATTTTCACCAACAAATAAATGGTTTTAAGTCAGTTATTTCTATATTTTGCTGTAGTGTGTCAGGAGGAAATATCAGTTCATATTTCCAAACATTCCTTTTGCCATTGATTGTAATAAAAATACTAATGGCCGAAGACTTCTGCACAGTACTGTATATACATATATATATATATATAAACATCTTTTTTCATATATTTTGTTTAAATATAAAGTTGCATATATGATTGCTACATATAATATCATAAAAAATAACTTTTCTTATGAGGGTTTAAACTCAGAGAATGAACATGTGAAAAGCAGCAGCATGTTCAAATGTTCTGTAAAAGCAAAAACCGAGTATATTCTTGTTGTCTAATGCAGTGCCATTCACAGGTTTATACACGTGCTCAGATAGTTCAGACAGACAGAGAGATGCTCTTCCAGAGTGTTTATGATTAATAAGCGCTCTCGCGCTGCCGATCGCTGACGCTCGGACGCAGAGTGTGCTGCACACAGCGCTCTCCTGATTGGATGAGGAGGCTGCGAGGATCAGCATGTGTGTGTGTTATTGGTTCGCATGAAGTTCGGCGCAGAAGCAGGAAGAGCAGCAGCAGCAGCAGACGAGCAGCTCCGGACAAACACCCCGCGGGACCTCCGTGCGTTTACTGGTGAGTGTTCGCGCTGCTGCACGCGAATAAACACGCCGCGCGGCGCGTTGCGTCGCGTCTCTCGCGTTCAGTCGCGCTCCGTGCTGCGCAGACGCGTTTGATCCTCGCACGCAAATCAAGGGCGCTTTAAATCGCGAGCACTGTGAAACTATATTGTAACGCCACCGACGCGGTTGTTGTTTGTTGTTGAGGAAGGGCGTTATTTCTGCTGAAGGATGACGTCAGGCCTCTCGTGTTCTAATAAACAACAAACACCGCGACAACGTCACGAACTAACGAGCGGCGTGACGTCACGACCGTAGGAGCTCGCGGCAGGTTCGGTCTCCGATCACCAAACGTTACTAACCACATTGCAGGTCAGTTAAAGCTTGGAGATCTGGTGTAACTGAAAGGTTGTAGGTTCGAACCCTGCATGGGTTGCTCAAGGACGCATTCTTGCTGAATTCTGAGCTTAATAGTAAAATAGTGAGCGCTATTCCAGATTCAGCATGTGTGCTTAATCACTCACAAACACAAATGCTGCTCAAAGTGATGTTTGAAACCGTCGCAGGCGCTCTTTGCTTCACCCAGCAAAAGTGATTGGGAGTAGACACAAAACATCATAACTCTAATGGTGCGTTCATGTTGGAAAGACTGTATTTACCAGTTAAACGCACATGAACGCCACAACAAACCAGTGGGGAAACTTTCTTTAAAGCAGTAGTTCACTTCCAGAATAAAAACTTCCTGATCATTTACTCATGTCATCCGAGATGTCTTCAGACGCAAAGAAATGAAGGTTTTTGAGGAAAACGTTCCAGGATTGTTCTCCATATAGTGGACTTCAATGGGGACCAACGGGCTCCTGTAGAGCTCTTTGAAGCTGCACTGAAACTGGATCTTCAGTCCGTTGCTCCCCATTGAAGTCCATTATATGGAGAACAATCCTGGAACGTTTTCCTCAAAAACATGAACACCTCGGATGACATGAGGGCGAGTAAATGATCAGGAAGTTTTTATTCTGGAAGTGAACTAATGCTTTAAGCTTTATTTTTTCTTACTTTTTTGTGAAAAGCACTAAACAAGTAAAGTTGGATTTAATTGAAATGAGTTTCCAAATTAAGTCCGAAAACATGGTGGATGCAACACCTGTATTGATAGTAAATTTGTTAAACTGAATTCAATTATTTTTGTTCTTTTACAGTAAAACTAACTTTAGTTGCATGTGCAAAATTCCAGAGTATTGCACGACTACAGTAGAATGTGCAACGATTCAATTTACAGAACCTTCATAATTTGAATAAAAGTGTAAAAAGGGAAAACACGCCGCATGCACATTTCGTAAAAGTAAAGTTCAAAAATCTTGCAGATGTTTTTGTAGAAATGGTGCGTTGCATTCTTGCTCTGACCAAAGTGACCTGAATGCACCTGACAGCTTGAGCAGACTTGACGCTCTGTATATCCCAAGTCTGAGTGTGATGAACAG